AGGTTTCTAATGCGTTTGTAGGGGTTGTTCTCATCGCCCCTGTGATACATAGGTTTGCTAGTCTTTGTATGCTGCCTAATGTTTGGGTAGCTACTTTTTGTTGAGCTTTGTNTTGAGAGTATGGGAAATTATTTTGATTAAAGAACATTGCTTTAAAGTAACTAGTTTCTTTTTTTTTGTTTAATACCAAAATCCTGCATTATTTTCCGGACAACCCAATATTTCTATATTTCTTTTCTTGGTGAAAGCAATTAAGGTGGTTTTTGAGGGGTTTACTTTAAGTCCCCGTTTTAAACACCATTGTTCCACCAGGTTTAGTGCTCTTTGGTGCGTCATACTGACAACATAATTAAATCTGATGCGGGAGTTTATTTAAGGATGTAAATCTTGTCACATATTTTTCCCGTTTTCAATGTCATCCATTCAAAACAGATAGCATCGAAACGGATTTACTTTCTGGCGCGAAATCAGCAAGACATCAGTGCGAGACTATTCATCTACTCCTTCTTGGAAATTTTCTTTATAAAAATATATAACTTTGGTTTTTAAACTTTTTTAAACATGACAGCACTGACCTTTCTCATAGGTATGTAGGTTTCGTATACTTTCATTGTATGATTTTTTTAGGTAAAAAAACAAAGTTGTTGGGTTAACGTTTAGGGTGTAAAAGGTTGAAGGGAACACGGCGACTCGTTCCTGTGAATTTTACTTATGGCAAAGATATTTTAGTTATTTTTAACATCGTTCTTTCAATAAAGTTGACGCTTACGCGAAAAAACCATAGTTGTTGGCGGCCGTCAGGGATGTAAGCAGGGTAAATACTCACCCCTATATGTGAATTTTCCCTATATCAAAGAAATCCTCTTATTTTTCAGTAACATACAATCAACAAGTTCGGTAATTGTGAAAAAGACAAAATGTATTGTTCAACGTTAGGGGTATTAGCTAGGGATAGGTCATCGATGATAGGCGACAGATGTTTGATGTTTCCAACATTGATGTTACTATGTCGATGTTTTTGACCATCGATGGTGGGCTGTCGATTTGTTATAAACTTTTTCAGTTTTTCGTAATTTCCACATTTGTGAATAGGAAATGACCCATATTCTTCTGATATGAATGTGACCTATCAGAACCTGTAAGTTGTTCAATTTGTTGCCTTAGTGGCACATCTATTCCATCAGAGCGATTATTTTCCAAAGCTGGACAGATTATTTCGAAAACCAGAATCACTTAGAGGACAAATTGGCTATAAAGCTACGTTTTTGCGTTCTGGAGAAGACGTGGTAGTGTTTCATCGTAAAATTTGGATGTAATAATTCTAATAAATTAAGGATATGGTTGATTTTAGTTACCTACCTACGGACGAAAAACCTTTACCTTTTTTTGAGCAAGAGACAGGAATCGGGCTTGGGTGGATTATGGATGTTTTCCAAAGTATCGAAGAAAAACAGGGACATATTTTGAAAGGAAATTCACAGGCACAAAACACTTTAACAATAGACATCTTTTATTTAAAAGGGACCAAGAGGTCTATATCTAATTATAAATGAAAGCAAAGGAAAAAATAATTCCTAATAAATGTTACGAAACAAATAAACATAAATTTTATTAATCTTCCTAAGAAAGGTTCAGAAATCGCTTAGTTTGGAAAATTAGTTTATGTTTCTAAGTGGCACATAAAAATAACGTGTGCATATGAAAATAATTTTTGGTTTGAGTACTCAAAAAGCCATCGATGGTGAGGTCCCGATGTTTAATCGATGATGACCATCAATGTTTTATTATCAATGCTTATCCCTAGCATAAGCAAGAAATCTGTCCCCATGTGTTAGTCCCCCTCAAATTAGTCTCTTAAGGAACGATAGAATTAAAAGTAAAACAGTTTTACTTACAAATATCAATATCATTCAATGAAAAATATTAAATCCGTAAAGGTCATAGTTTCTGATTTCACCATAAAAAACATAAATTTGGCCTGATTTTTCTTTTGTTGATCAATAATTATTCCTTTCAAAGATCGTAAAATGTTTGTTGGCTTAATCTTCAGTAATTAGCATTATCAGCCGCTGAAAGGCACAAGACCGAGGAAAGCTGAAATTCCAAACATTCTCGTTATAATTTACGATACGAAATAAAATGCATAGACAGTTCAATAAAGAATGATATTGTACATGACAGGGAATTTAATTTAGGGACTAATGAATGATGGCATTAATAAATCTGTCATTTTCTTGTATTGACATATCAAGTCAATTTATACTCGACTTGGCTCATGTACTGGAGAGTACATAAAATTCCTTTCAATGTCGAATTATTGTCGGAAATTCTCCTAAGCCGAAGATGAGGGAAACACGTTTCGGATTCTCATTTCTAATCAACTTAAACGGTTCAGGGTGCTGACAAACAAGGAAGTTGGGCACTTCGGCGAAAATCTCGCAGGTTCTGAAAGCGGGCAAATTTAGGCCAATGTTTCCAATTTGAAAGGGTCAGCGAAAAAGGAAAAAACGACACTGATGAAGTGGGGCAACCAATTTGGAGCCGGGACTTTTCCAATCGACTTTGGATGACGTAGAAGTGGGCGAAATTTATCGTAAAAGGTTTGAAAAGACGAGATTTCCGTCTCGACTCATATAACACTGTCTCTAAGGCCTTTCATGCTATACACTTTTTTTTAAATACTTGTATTTTATTAAACACAAATTATTAAAATAAAACAAATATCAAGCAACGTATTTTTAAAAAAATTGGGATGATTTTATTTGATATGTGTAATTGTTTTTTCTCGATTCGTGTGGATAGAAAAAAAGTTGTGATTAATTAACTTTACATTGGGTTTTTCGGTTTCTAACGCCCTATATGCAATAGACTTTTTTTTATTAAACATAAATTATTAAAATAAAGTATTTAAAAAAATTGGGATGGTTTTATTTGATGTGAGTAATTATTTTTTCTCGATTTGTGTGGATAGAAAAAAAGTTGTGATTAATTAACTTTACATTGGGTTTGTAAGTGAAAGACCGAAAAAGCGAGAGTGAACGTCGATTTAGCATCGCTTAACAAATCGATCTCTCCCGATGATAAAGCAAACCGCCTAAAGGCCTAAAACCATTACGGCCAAAGTTAAGAAGTCACCCACGGCTTCGGAAGCTCCTATTAAGCAGAAAACGTTCGCTATTATCTCAAGTGAAGCTTCACCGGCGAAACGAGAGAGAAAATCCCTATTAAGTGGACAGTTGTAAATTATTTTCAATATTTCTTTACGATTCGAAAGTCCGTGTTACCATCACCAGTCACATCAATCCTCTCGTTATTTTTAACAGATCGGAAAAGTCCTTTTGTTGCCGTTTCATTATTTAAAAAAAACTTTCAAAAATTAGCCTGCGGCGTCCCAAACCATGAAATGGTGTGATCCATTTGACGTCGGGTAACATAAAACACACATTCAGACCCATGGAACAATTTTTTATATTAATGTTCCAAAATTATTCATAGATCCGATGAAAGACAAATGGCCTCTATTTGAAAATGAAACATCAACATGAATATATGCGCTGATTATATTCATCCTCATCAATTAGATCAGACCGGTATAACATTTACGTCTTTCATTTGCTGGCAAACAGAATATTTTATCTTTTTAATGTGAATTTCGTTTGTCATATGGCCAAAAAATTATGTGAGATTCTTACGGATCGTATTGCTACGTGATGAACCTGCATTTTGGTCTTTACCCGATTATATGGGTTCGCTTATCATCGCTGCGTTGGTCTGCCGTAAGCATGGTGAAACGAGATGCTTACTTTTTCCTATTGATCTCCCTGCACTGAATAAACCATAGCAGGTTTTAGTAAAATTTTTTCAAGACGTTCGGTATTATAAAAAAAATGCAATATCTTGCATAACGTTAAGGTTATAAGCAGGCTGAGGGAGACGCAAATATAATCCACGTATGTTTCTTGATGAATTTTTCAAAATTTTTGATAAATCCACATAAACAAATAAATAAATGCACATAGGTTTCTTGACAAATTTTTTAATTTTTTTGGATTTTCAGGAAAAAACATAGTCGTAACCTCATTATTAAGGTTATAGGCTGGTTGAGGGTGGACGCTGACTCTTTGCCAAAGAAATCCATATAGGTTTCTTGATAAATTTTTAAAAAATTTTGGATTTTCAGAAAAAGAACATAGTCGTAAGCTCATTATTAAGGTTATAAGCAGGTTGAGAGTAGACGCTGGCTCTTTGCCAAATAAATCCACATAGGTTTCTTGACAAATTTTTTAATTTTTTTGGATTTTCAGAAAAAGAACATAGTCGTAACCTCATTATTAAGGTTATAGGCAGGCGGAGAGTAAGACGCTGGCTCCCTTTTGCGAATTTTCTATATCACATAGACCAAGTATTTTTTGACGCCGACTTTTCAAGAAATGACAGCATTTGTTGGCGTGCTGTCAGAGGTATAAAAGGTGAGGGTAGACTCTGGCTCCTTCGTATGAATTTCCCTTTTGTCAACGAAATTCACTTAGGTTTTCTGATATACTTTCAACAAGTTCGAAACGTTTAGGTCAAAGAATTCTCAGTAGTCGGCGAGGTGGAACTAGCACAGTTCAGAGTAGATAGCGAAATGTCCGACACGTCTTCCAGATCAAATCGGCGGTAGACCAAAATGATTATAATAACATAAATTAACCTCTCTGCAGACCCCATGGAAAAATTTCACATTTGCTTTGTAACCTAACTCTATAAGCTAATAATGGAGTGAATGGAGAGTTATGGAGCATGGAGAACAACATGTTGTGGTTCTTGCAGATAGATAAAATTCTGTGGATTGTGAGATTTCTTCGTGTGGTCTGCAATGATGAACCTGAACCGATCATTTTGTTGTGCCTATCAGAACAAAATAATCTCTAACGACCAAATTACAGAACGTCTAATGTTCAGCAGAAAAACTAGGCGAGGCATACCAGATGATTAGGCAAGAAGTTGAAAGAGACATATGAATATATTAACACATTTTATTAGTGGTTCGTTAAAAAAAGTGATTTTCCCACGGCGAATTATAAATTTAATGTCATTTGATCGATGAATGGATGTCAAGCGATAGATTTTGTTACTCCGATTTCATTTTCGACGAAATTTACAAAATGAAAATTAGAATAAGTTGGTAGACAATGGCCATTTGCAGAGCGATCATCTCGTCTAAGAATATGATTGTTTTAAGAACGCCAGCGCACGCTTCCATAGTGTGGACCATCTCGTACTCCAGGTCCGGCTGGAGATCGGCACTTTGGCTGAGGCTGGAGCAAGTGTTGATCATGTGAGCCGCGACTACGACTGACAGGTACGTGACGAACTCAATGTCCTCGTCCGGGGGCGACATGGCAACGGCGGCCCCCCTTGCAGAATCGAATAGCATCCCCATGCAGTCCTCGACGTTCAACCTGCTCGTGACTTCTTTGCCGGCCAGCACGGCCTTCTTCCCCGCCCTGAATTTGGCCTCGGAAAGCTGCCGGCACGATTGTTCCACGTATCTCCTGATTTTATAAAAGTCCGATTTCACCTGCAGCCAGTAGAACGCGTTGTTCATGCAGATGATTTTCGAAACGGTGAAGAAAATCGGGAGTACGACTGCAATTAAACAAATTCTAAACTGTAAAACATTGTCTATTTTTCCTTTTAAAACTAGATTTTTTACCATTGACGCCTAAACTAATAAGATCTTCTAGCTCCTGCATTTTTTTTGGTTAATCGTTCACTGTCAGTTGCATAGTCTTATCAAATAATTAGTCTTAACGTCTCTGTAGACCATTTTGTCAATTTAAAATTTTGTACTTTCTTAAAGAAACTTGGCATGATTTTTAAATATTAGTAATATGATTTATAAAAAACCTACATGGAGAAAGAATGAAGGAAATTACATATTATACACATAATGATTTTGAAAATTATTCTGAAAAAGAAAAGTGCAAATTTATTTCTCTCACCTGATTTTTAAAAAGTAACTATTGTACGTATATTACAGTTTTTATAATTAACCGAAGCTTAAAAGCGTCTGACAGACCAAACGAAGATGGATAGGCAGACCGTTTGATGTGGTTTAATGTTGAATATTGAACAATGATTTTATTCATCCGAGTTCATTTCTCTACGGTTTTCCCCCTCAATATTTATATAATCAATTTATTAGTAGATGTCAGCTTGAATTGAAATCAACGAGGGGTTTTGTTGCAGATTTATATACGCCTCCATATAGGACATCCACTTACCAAAAATCATTTTTAATTTATCCGTGCATTGTGGAACTCCCTCCCCACTAATATTAAACGCCCCCCCCCAAAAAAAAACATTAAAAATTTAAAAAATATAAATAAAAAAAGCACGCCATTTAACACATCATTTTGGAGTATACATATTGCTATTGCTAGATAGGAGCATATACACTGAAAGGCAAAAAAATCCACCCACTTGTGGTATAACTCGATTTGTATATATTTTGATATATTAATCAAAGTTTAACGTTTTTTATTATTATATTTAGTGGTCTATTGACCAAATTACATCTTTCAACTAATTAATCTTTTTATGTAAGGTTTTGGTTGAAATGAAAAAGCTAGCGCCACGAGCGGGATTCGAACCCACGACCTTCGGCTAAATACGCCACTGCTCTCCACTTGAGTTATCGTGACTTCGATCGATGTTTAATTAACATTTCAATATCGTGTATTTCCTCCTCTTGCCTTACTTATACCTCGAAGACGCCTCGGCATACTTTCTATCAGTCTGGAAATGTCCCTTTGCTGGAGGTTAGAACATTCTTCAAGAAGATTCCTTTCAAGATCGTGGATTCATCAGGACGTGATAGACGTGCGCTTATTCGTCTTTTGAGGTTATCCCATAAATATTCGATGGGGTCTGAATGGTCAAGTCTGAAGAACGGGCTGGCTGACCTTGATGTTATGCTGTCGAAGATACGTTTGTACTATGCGAGCGATATGTGGACGGGAATTAGCGTGCATTAGAATAGGATTGTGGCTGATTTAATGGAGGGTGGGCAACGCACGATGTTTTAAAATTTCATCCACATAGCGAGTGGCCGTCAAAGACCCTCCACGATCAACAACCAAATCTGTGCGACTCTCCGTTGACATCATCACTGAGCTACGTTGGAAAGGTCGGCTCTGAGAAAAATTACAAGCTTTGTACCTTTCATTTCGCCTTCTCCACACTCTTTCATGCCCATCTGGAGAGCAAATCTACATTCACCTGTAAAAAGTACAGCAAACCAATTGTCTAAAGACCAATGGCTGCGCTCTCGAGCAAATGCGAGCCAACTCTGTGCGTTCTGGTCAATTCAGGTCCTCTTACGGGGTAAAAAGCCACCAAACTGATTTAATCTTCTTCGAGGAGTGCATTCAGAAATTCTCGAACTTCGTGGAGCTGAAGAATCGCTTGAACAACAGTAAGTTTGGCGGTTTCGCAAAATTCTCAAATTCAAAAAACTGTCATCCTGTGGCTCTGTTGTGTGTCCTATGGTAGAACCCAGTTTCTCGAAAACGTCTAACGGCCTCTCTCTTTCGTAGGGAACTCCGATGAAATAGCCGCATGGTGGATAAATTAGGTCTAAATAACACATAGTCAGCCGTCTTACTCAATGAAACTATCCCTATTAAAGTCAAGTTTAATATTTTTAAGGAGATAAGTCGTGCAATTCTTGATGGCTGTCAAATGTGGGGATACCAGAGGTTCGAAACAATAGGCAACGTTTTTTTGTAAGAAAGTTATTCACATTGCCATCAATAGACATCAAACTATATATTTAGAGACCAACATGGATTTAATTTTGGTGTGTATACACTTAAGCTTCATTACTCCTATATTGTGAAAGTTCTGATGTCTCCCGATACTAGATACTCAAAAATAACGTCTTTGGCAGTAATAAAGACGAATATTTCATGGTTCGCACACTGAAAATATTTGTTTGAAAAGTACAACTTGCCCTTCCACATATCCTTGGACAACCTCTGTGACTAGCATAATTATTTTTTAGTTCTTATCAATCAAATTAAAAAACAACATCACGAAGAATGCCGCTCACGTGTCCAAGCTCTACGCATCTCTCACTTCACAAGGAGGTACAAATTTCTCCTGCATTGTTCGACCTACATGAAGATAATTTTGACGGACTTTGTCTCAATGAGTTGCGATGGCTATTTAAGCTAAGAAGTGAGGTTTCGGACTTAAACTCGGCTGTTTGGATCACAGGGGAATTGGGAATCTGTTCTTTGTACAATTCCGCTCTATTGAAACTGTATCCCACTTCTTGGCGGAGTGCTCGTCCCTGGGTGAGATTCGGTTATTGCATCTCGGATGTTTCACTCTCCCCAGAGTTGACCTGTTACGGTTTTTGAGTAGCTCAAATTCGCCGCCTTAATTCGTTACGTTAGACATGCATGGAATTACAGATATGAGTTAATTAAGGAGTTTAATTTTTGATTTGTATTGTCTAACTGTTTTTCTATTCTCTCTTTCGCATTTTAACAGTTGTTATTTCTCTCTTTTTCAATTTATTGCCTAGGATATTTTTTATTGTGTATTTTTTCGTTTCTGATTGTTTAACCAACGACCTCTGGCAGACAGATCCAAGATACATGTCCTTAAATGATTTGAAATGACAATTGTCATTTTTCCTTTCTTAAGTTCAATAAAGCATTATTATTAATTATTAAATTCACTAATTTCGTGGTCCGCTTGACCAATTAATATATTACAATTAATTAAGGTTTTTAGTTGAGATAAAAAAGTCAATGGCTCGAGCGGGATTCGAACCCACGATCTTCGGCTTGATACGCCGCTGCTCTACCACTTGAGCTATCGTGACTTCGATCCTCTCGGACACCAACTTCCCATCTCAACCGCACCTTTTGTGTTTTCCCTCCTTTTTGCCATTTTTCAAATGTCGTGTAATCGGGTTGGTTTCTCGACGACAAATGAAATGGCCACGGAGTGCTTTAGTGAAGTATACTTCATTTTTAATCATTAATTTCACTAATTTCGTGGTCCGCTTGACCAATTAATATATTACAATTAATTAAGGTTTTTAGTTGAGATAAAAATGGCAAAAAGGAGGGAAAATTCATATATTGCTAAAGATGTTTACAATAAATGAATCCAATATCGACCATTTATCTGTTATGCGTATTTAGGGGAATTTGCACTGTTTCCTTGTTTGAGTTGTAAACAAACCCCGATGGACGAATGGGTTTGCTCTTGAAACATTTCGTCAAAAGGGGAGTGACAAGGGTTTTCAACCTGGCAGCAAGTACTTGTTACTCTGTCTGTTCAATGCGCTCAATTTCGAAACAAAGAGACGTGGTTTGACTTAAATCAGAATAAATTTGGATGAGGGGTCTCAAATTTAGAAATATTAAAAAGTATTAATTAATTTGTTAATCTTAGCTTGTTGCAGTTTGTCGTTTATATAAGACAATTTCATTAAGGGTTTGCTTTTATTTTTATTTTTCAGAAAAGACCAAAAAAATGTAATAAACAATAGCTCAGAGGACTACATAGAGATCAGAAGCGATTTACTTTCTTCTCCACCAGCTTTTCACCAGGTAAGTTGCTTTTAAAACCTTTTCGATTAATTTTTTTTAAAACAAAGACAGTTTTGTTAGAATGGAGGACGAGATAAGCTTTGCCTTGATCGGTATCCTGGGCGTCGGGACTGTCGCGATGATCGGCTTGGTCAGCTGCTACATCTGCGTCCTCCGGGATCTCTGCTGTCAGCCCGTCAACAAAAGAAGCCGGTTCAACAGCATGCCAGGTCAGGAAGATCTGCAAATGGGCGACACGACGCAAAACGTCGAAATAAGCCTGGCAACAGACACGGAACAGTCGAAGAATTGAACCGATTGATTTTCTAAATATCGATTGTCTGTGTGTACAAATTTAATTTATACAATAAACGAATTTACATTCTTTACTCGTGTTTTTATATAAATATATATATTTTTCAAACGTTCAAACCTTCTAAGCCAAGAATTGAAAGTAGCAATGTATGCTCGAAGTGGCATACTAAATTAACCATAATTTTTATAATATGGATGAATTTTTTTATTATCGTTTTGGTTCAGTAAAAATGTTGTTTGGCTTCAATTTAAATTAACACCCTGATCTTCCAGGCTTCTTGGTCGGACGGAAACAGAAACGTTTCTGGCTAACTTAACGTTCAAGAATGCACTAATTCTGTACTTTTGTTTATTTCTTCTAGATTTAGCGTTTCTACACTAGAAGCCGATAAAAAAGTACAAATTAACATCGAGGTTGTAGTAATTTAAGGCTGTTTTTTAAATTCAAATTAATCGTACCTTGCCGTTGTACAAACATCGAATCAGACAGATCAACTAGTTCTGTGTATTTATGCAGTTTTAAATGAAAAGTACCAACTTTAAACCAATTAATATTAAGATATTCCGTATTATTTATAATGTAAAATCCAGTATTAAAAACGGAAAAGAATTTAATATAACGAAGAAATGTGTGATGTTTAGTGACCGTTACTTGATGATTATTTGGAGGTCATGTGATGCGGTTGGTGTGACGTAGGTTTTAGAAAAATATTTTCTTTATCGTGCCAACTTTTCGATCTTTATTGAGATCATCTTCAGGGCTCAAAGTGTTTGTTTTCCGTGTAGATGTGTCATTCTTGTCTGTCGTGTTGATAGTGCCTTTTAGGTCTTATTTGATTGTGCTGTATGTGTTTGCGTCGTTGATAATTTTTTCTTTGTTCTCTTTTTCGCTGATTTCTACTGTTTGCTTTGTTTTATCAGCAGAAAGAATGAGTATATCAGAATTATTTTTGAGAAATTTTTTATTTGGGTGTATGTTTGTTGTGATATGTTGTGTTGATTTGTAGTGAGGTGTTGTATGTGATTTGTTATTGTTTTAATGCATTTTGATCGTGTTATGTCTTTTTCTTCTTCTGTTTTTGTTGACTTTTGGATTGCATAGTCTAAATCAGTAATTAATTTAGCTGTTGGGAAATCTGTTTTGTTGTAAGGAATGGATTGTTTGGGACCAAGTGAAAGGAAGTTTTGGATTGCTGGAGGAATGTTAGTTTTTGTTAGGTTTAGAATCCAATTGCTTATGTTATCAGGTTTTTGTTGATTAAGTTCTTAAGTTTTATGGTGTGTTTGTTTTTAATTTGTTCAAAGTGAAAATTGTATGTATCTTTTTGATGTTTGCCCATATGTAGTTGAAATATGTTCATAGAATCCCATATTCTTCGTTCTTCTCGTGTAGAAATGTGCGGTGTTCAGTGACCGTTACTTAATGATTATTTGGAGGTCGAAGGCATTCTCAACACGGCAGACAGGAATGACACATCTACACGGAAAACAAACACTTTGAGCCTGAAGATGATCTGAATAAAGTTCGAAACGTTGGCACGATAAAGAAAATGTTTTTCTAAAACCTACGTCACACCAGACCGCATCTCATGACCTCCAAATAATCATAACGAAGAAAACGGAATCATCACACAATCAACAATCTTTTTTTTGTAATATGTGTGTATACGATTTTTTCTTTCCAAAGATGTTGAAAAGAAGTGTTGAAAATCATTACCCAACCCTCCCTTTAACTACCATTGTTCTCTCTCACCGAATTTCTCTTCCTCCCTTCCTCTAGTTGGTTCTGTCTTTTCCCTAACACTCTATCACTGTCCCTTTCTCTCTCTCTCTCTCTCTCTCTCTCTCTCTCTCTCTCTCTCTCTCTCTCTCTCTTTATTGCATTTATTCAAAAAATATAACTAAAAGAATATAAACTTTTTTATCTCAACCAATACCTTAATAAAAATTAATTAATTGAAAGATATTATTTGGTCAAGTGGACCACGAAAACTAGTGAATACAACTATATATGTTTCTTTTTCGTTGTTTTTTACACATAATTTCAATCTGAAGGTTTTTGATACTCTTTTATCTAGTAGATTTCTGAGAAATTGTTCGAGAATGGTAAAAGGTGAATTTTTAATGGCCCCTCGTTTGAAGAATTATTCTAAACAAGGCTGTTGAAAAAGCTCTCTCTACAAAGCGTGAATCGGAAGCAAACGTTAAAAGAGAATTATTAAGGAGCCCTGTTCTAATTGTGTTCCACCTTCGCGCCACTTTAAATCCTTACCAATCCAAAATTATCCACCAGTCAGGATAATCCGGAGAAAATTACACGAAGTGCGGCTTTAATGAAAATCAAGACTAGTACGATACCCAGCTATAATTAGAGAAAATATGTTTTTTTGTTATTTAGGTTTGTGTTTTAAAAGTAATTTTTAATGTTTGGGTGATTTTATAATTATGAACATTTAATTCCTAAGATTTGCGAGAAGAAAACCTTTTAAACGCATTCTTGACTTTAGGTCGAGGTTAATGTAATTTACCAGGCATAAATACAGTAAACGAAGGATAAATAATTAATAACATCTTTCAATTTGTAAGTACGGAGGGATTAGGCTTTTATTGGTGAAAATAATATTGATTATTTAAACAATTTTTGTTTGACCATTCTCGCGACCTCGATTTTGAGTTACCGAGGTATGCGCGTGGGTTGGGTAAAAAGTTAACTAAAAATGTAGTTGGATTAAGTAAGGGAAAGTTAGTGTTAGGAAAGGGTTTGGATTAAGTTAGATAGGTTGAACGTTAGGGTTAGTTCTTTCAGTTCATTATTCTTCGTATGTAAGGTCTTGGTTGAAATGAAAAACCTAATGTCACGAGCGGGATTCGAACCAACGACTTTCGGCTCAATACGGCCGCTGTTCTAACCATTTGAGGTATCGTGACTTCGATCCACTCTGATACCAGCTCGCATCTCAACCTACGACCTTTCAACTTTTCCCTCCGAGTGGATCGAAGTCACGAGCCGAAGGTCGTGGGTTCGAATCCCGCTCGTGAAACTAACTTTTTCATTTTAACCAAGAACTTACACACAAATAATAATTGAAAAAAGTAATCTGGTCAATCAGACCACTAAACATAATGGGGTTAGGGACGGGTCAGTTAAGGTAGGATACGAGTTTAATATCTAAGTGTGTGGTGATTAGTGACCGTTAATCGATAATTATTCACAAATCGTGAGATGCGGTCTGGTGTGATGTAGGTTTCAGAAAACATTTTCTTTATCGTGCCAACGTTTAGATCTTTATTGAGATCATCTTCAGGGCTCAAAATGTTTGTCTTCTCTGTAATTGTGCCATTCTTGCGTGTCGTGTTGAGGGTGCCACACTTTGAGCCCTGAAGATGATCTCAATAAAGATCGAAACGTTGGCACGATAAAGAAAATGTTTTTTTGAAACCTACTTCACACCAGACCGCATCTTACGATTTCTGAATTATTAATATCTAAGATTCATTGTTTATTTTTATTACTAAATTGATTTAATATGCAGAATTGAAAAATAATTTCTTTCATAAGAGTACATATCCATTACAAAAATAATCTTACATATCAATACAGTATTCGAAATATATTTTACATAGTTAGACCACAGAAGTAATCTGGCAGTTACGAAAGCCCGTCTGTAATTACAAATGTTGTTGATTCATTTAAGCATGGCGTATTGATCAATCCTCGACGAGATTTAAACAGAGCGTAAATATAATTAACGTTAATCAAAGGCTAAATTACGATATTACCGTTTAATCCAGGTGGAATTTGATTTATTCCTTATCGGTGGATATTTACCGCTGGTAATAGACCGTCATTCGTTTGTACTTCTATTTTTAATTTCGATTTTGAATTGTTATTTGTGACCAAAAAGGACAAATTTAAAAAAAATATTGAGTATTGAATCGAAAAAGAAGTGTGAAAGTCTTATAATTTGCTCCTGTTGTCCCTGATTGTTCAACAAGTTTCCGATTACAAGAATTTAACAGGTTTTCTTCCGACTTTATGAAATGGCTCTCTCAAAAATACACCTTGAAATAATTAACGGCGATGAAAAGGTAGTCGTGAATTGAACAACTTATGTCAGCTTGTTTAACATTTATCGAATTTCATAAGAATCTACTCGATAAAAGAAAAAAAATCCAATTTCAATTGTGGAAACTCGATAAAAACCAATACACTTAATTGCTTTTAAAATTACTTTCCGCGAACAACTGAAATAAATAAGTAATAAAATATTCCCATTGGGAGATCCAATATTTAGTGAGAGAGAGAGAGAGAGAGAGAGAGAGAGAGAGAGTGTGAGTGAGAGAGAAGAGATAATGGTTACACTATGTTGCTCGCACCATTTGTTCGGCTTCCTAAAAGCATCTATAATAATTAGCCGTTAAACACAAATTTTTCATTTAATTTTTTATACAAATAAATCTGTATAACATATTACGCGAGCGCAAATTGTTGAAATGTGGATTGAACGAAGTTTGGTTTCCACGTGTTGGATTCAACAACTGATTTTTATACGTCCTAACAGTAAACATAATATAATTAACAATTGTTTGTACATTATATCAAATTACAATTAATTAAGGTTTTTGGTTGAGATAAAAAAGTCAATGGCACGAGCGGGATTCGAACCCACGATCTTCGGCTTGATACGCCGCTGCTCTACCACTTGAGCTATCGTGACCTTGTCGTCGAGAATCCAATCCGATTACACGACATTTGAAAAATGGCAAAAACGAGGGAAAATTCAAAAGGTGGAGTTGAGATGGGAAGTTAGTGTCCGAGTGGATCGAGGTCACGTAGCTCAAGTGGTAGAGCAGCGGCGTATCAAGCCGAAGATCGTGGGTTCGAATCCCGCTTGTGCCATTGACTTTTTTATCTCAACTAAAAACCTTAATTAATTGTAATATATTAATTGGTCAAGCGGACCACGAAATTAGTGAATTTAATTATATCAAATATGTAATCTTATGAATTACTGTCCATCGTTTGCATGAAAGACCCACGTGAAATCACCACTATATAACCAGTGAAGATATA